TAGGAGGGGGGGATTTGCTGAAAATCTTTTGACAAGTGGCTGTGCCAGGGCTGCCTCCCCAGGCTTAAGAGCTTCCCCGAGGATCACAGCCCACCACAGTGCAGGGGTGTGCAGGACCATGAGAGGAGAGGGGAAGGTCTGCCCCAAATCTTCATCTCACGCTCTTTCCTGACCATGGTCCTCAAGAGAGCAGACAGTGGTTCCTTCGGGATCTGATAAAAGAGTTCCAGGAGATTCTCCTTTTTCCTTTTCCCTTTCCCTTTCTTTTTCCCTTTCCTTTTCTTGTTCCTTTTCCGTTTCATTTTTCCTTTCCATCCCTATACGGATGAGCAAAGTGGCACAGAAGCTACCAAGGATGGGCCTCCTCCTCCAGTTCCAACATATACATTCATCCCTCTATAGCAGTTCTTCAGCCATATCGCATTCTCTTTCCAAGTTCCCAGAGCTGCAACTCCGGATACCACTCCCCTAGCCCTGCAGCAATGAGCAAAGGAGCAGAAGAAACCAGCTGAGGCTCGTGTAGGAATAATGTGGGGGTTTATTTCAGAGGTCCCACGGAGGCTCCGGTTCAAAGGGGATGAAGGGCAGGCGCCGCACGTAGTCCCCCGAGGCCAGCTCTTCCTCCCGCACCCTGTGCGGCCGCTCTTCCAGCTCCCTCCGCACACGGCGCAGGGGCACGGGGGGACTCTGCTCCCTATCCCCGTCGGAGAATCTCCGGTGACGGCGACCTCCAGGACCCCGCTGCTGCTCCTCCTGCCGCCGCTGCTCCTCCTGCCGATAGCGCAGAACGAAGGGATGCAGGTGGCGATGGCGGCGACGTGGGGCCACCCCGGCACGGCCGTCCTGCCCCTGCAGCAGGCGGATGGCCCCGATGGGCTCCCGGCAGAGCGGGCAGGGGGCAGCGGCCGCGGCCTGGCCCTGGATGCAGGCATGGCAGAAGACATGCCCGCAGGGCTCCACGGCAGCGGGGCTTTCGAGGGCCCCCAGGCAGAGCAGGCAGCTCCCGGCGGCTCCTGGCGC